ACCGTACCGAGCCGTACCATGCAGTGGAAAAGCGCCATAACAGTTTCCACACGTGCACCTCAAATAAATAAATACTAATAATGAATGCAATAAAACTGCTGTCACATCAAGTAAAGTACCATATTTTCGAATCTTCTGCCTATTACCTATATACGTCACAAGGTAACACATTTGCATAATCCCTGCCTGCCCACGAAATACGAACACTCTGACCTGCCCACAAACACTTCCGCTAGTTAGTGTGTTTACATCATTTCGAGAAGATGCTGTGTTTTCAGCCTCACTGGGCATTCTAATGGCGCTTTTCCACTGCGTGGTACGACTCGGCTCGGCACGGTTCGGCTCGGCACGGGTTGCGTTTCCACTGCAGTTCAGTACCGCTTTAGAGTGGGCGGGATTATTCACATGTCGTTATAGTTGCGCCACCTACGTCACGTTTTGGTAACGGTACGGTTCACTTGGAACCCCAACCGAGGTGGTACTAAAAAGAGTACGAGGTACCAGGTACTGTACCCAGTGGAAAACCCCCAAAAAGTGAACCGTACCGAGCCGTACCATGCAGTGGAAAAGCGCCATAACAGTTTCCACACGTGCACCTCAAATAAATAAATACTAATAATGAATGCAATAAAACTGCTGTCACATCAAGTAAAGTACCACATACAAAGTTTAAACTTACCACTGAGAAACGTCCTGATCAAGTCAAGCTTGCGATGGAGTTTCCGGTTGAGAGACTGCATCTGTATCATCCTTGGACTTGGGCTCGAATTGATAACATAATATCGATACCATTTTTGTAAACTTATAGCATCTTTGTTTACAAGTAACCCTCTGGAGCAAAAAATTAATTATGGAAATGGGCGTTTCGTTTCCGACACGTATTGTATACGAAAAGACCAATCACAACAGACTTGGCCAGCTGACCAATCAGAGCAGAGTAGGCTTATGGATGGGAGGGGTTTACAGACCTTAAGCTCAGAACTGCTTTGAACGAATCGTTTCGAAATCATTGAAAAATGAATCTAATATTAAATGTATATATTCTGAGAAAATTACAATGTTTTCTGACCTTAGATGCATTTAAACCTGTTAGGGGACTCCCAACACAATATTAGGACACTTTAAAATATCATATGACCAGCTTTTTAATGAAAAATGACTTTGATTTGGGTCTGTTTGTCTCACAAAGTTAACATCTGTAGACTTGGAATATAACACACAAGTAAGATTCCAACTTTTATGACAATTTTATGGTGATTGTCCATACGTTTTGAATCTGGAAAGTCTCACAGTAATTGCATGAAAAAGAGCAACCAGTGCAATTCTTTAAAAATGCTTCTTACAGGTTTGGAACAATAAAGATTTAGGATTTGAAGACAAAACAAAACTTCACCAGGTCTTACAATTTAATTCTGCTATTGTGCCTTTTTTATTTTTTGAATGATGAACAATTTATTCAGGCAACCAAAAACATTTAATGACACAAATCAGTCATTAGGCTCTGGTCAAATTGTTTTGATGCTAATAAAATATTTTACACTTCTGTATTAATTTATTGCATCAAACTTTGATCGGTCTTTAGTATAAAAGAACTACTTGGGTTACTTGGATACATACTATAGCGTTCCACAGTGACTGAAATGCATGTTTTGATCAACTCAGAAAAGACTGTGCAGTTGTCAAGAGTTTGTTCATGGGCCACTGACTTTGCCTGGAAATGAAACACTAAAAGTGCTGTAAAGTATAGTAGAGAGACAGAGTGAGATAGATGCTGTCTAATGGAGTTAAACAGCTTACTGCACCTAGGGAAGAGAAAAGCAATTTACAGATGCCTGTGTAGCTAACCATGGATGTCTCATCATAAGTGAGCAAATGTGAATATTTTGCTGAATAAATGCAGCTCAAAGCTATGATGGGAGTACCTCAGAAGCAACATTCAGATGGTCAAACGAGCAACAATAAATGTAAAAAGTGCCCAGCTGGCACACTCTTCATCTGTCACGGTTTGTATCTAGGGGATTTCGGTGTCCTATATGTCAGGCATGCTTTAGATCACATGGATGGACATCCTTACAAACAGCTCAGCAATAAGAGGAATACTTCAGAGTGGTCTCTAGGCAGACAGCTGGGAATGGGGTGTGTTGAATGGCCTCAAGCATGTTCAGTGTAGTCAAGTTTTCCAGGCCAAACTGAGTTACTGCAAGCTACAGGAGGTAATGTTTCCCACCTGAAGCTGCAGTACCTTTATCACTTCTATCTTATTACACATTATTCTGCCCTCCCAGTTTATTGCATGTTCAGTCAGGAATGGGGCTGAAATGTAATCATTTTATATCCAGTAAATATAATAATAATATATTCTACAGCTTTACTGGATATAAAATGATTAAATTTCAATTAATTCCTGGCTGAACATGCAATAAAATGGAAGAGCTACTGATGGGATGACCAATAATAATAATAATAATGATGGTAGAGCAGCAGCAACAAAAATGACGACAACAACAACAATACTCTTTCCTACTTGTCTCTCAGCTGATCCAATACAAATATATCCTATAATCTTTGGTCAAATGACTTGTTATATCTCAATATTCATCGGGTCCGAACAGAGCTGGGGAAAAAAGATTTTAAATATAATGCTTCAGTTGCTTGGAGTAATCTACAAAATAATCTTAAACTGACTATACTTCCATCTTTAAATGAGTTCAAGGTACTTTTAACAGATTCTTTGCTTTATCCCCTGGTAAAATGTTGTTGTGACTCGTGTTTTGATGTTGTAATGTAATTTTTTGTATATTTTATGTTAATTGTTGCTGCCCTCTTGGCCAGGTAAGTCTTGTAAAAGAGATTTTAATCTCAACAAGTTATTTAACCTGGTTAAATAAAGGAAATGAATGAATGAATGAACTTTGTGTAATGAATGAATTAATTATTATCATTTTATGCATAACATAATATATAAAGGAATTAAAAATTAAATAACACGATTAAGCTTTGCAAACTTTTAAGTTTAATGAAAGTTGTACAATATAACCATCTGCCATACAAACACACATGCTTGATAAATACTCCCATTCTGAGTGGAAAAAAATGTCTTACATTGCAAAAGATTGTCAAGTTTTAAAACGTACTATAAAATATACACTATAGTGACCACCATACCCATGTAAGGAATGACATCTGAAGACCACATCCTCTGCGGTCACAACCACTGCACTTTAAGAGGGCGAACAAGGCACAAGCTTGCAAAGATCATAAAGTCTGTACTTTCCAGAAAGATTCCAAACAAAACACAGTCTGAATCCAGTAAAGATTCTACATTTTAGAAATCGCCTGTGGTGTTCCACTTTGGATAAAAGCATCTTCCTAAATGACTAAATGTGTTAAGAGAAACCACTGCACATATATCAACCTCTGAATAACACACCCAGAGCTGATCTCTATATACATCTCATACTTGACATTTCTGTAGTGTGTGAGGCTAAATAAAACTGCTTACAGTTAAAACACTCATCACAAGGTGTCACAACATTCAAATCCAATCAAACGCTCTCAGGTAGTGACTAACTTTTATTATAGACTTCAACAGTTGGTGTACTTTCTTCGTGGCAGATACAACATTTTTTTTCCCTTAACAAGCTGCTTTTACATTCCATCAATGGTATTTAGGACTAGTAGACAGATGCTTTTAAACTATTAAACATATTTTAAATTAGTTAAAAAACATTAATGCAATGTGAGAAACTGAGGACCAGGCAACTGTCAAACTGCAGTAATGCAACACTTCAGTGTACCAGGTCAACATGCCACAGTGGAAATAGGGATCTGGATTCTGTGACGTTACAAGAGGACGAGCCCCTGGGTATTTCCCTGATCTGGTGCTGTCCATCACCATTCTGAAAACATATCACATTTTCAGGTTCTCCAATGTTTATCAGGCTGTTTATCAAACTCACAAGAGTCTAACTTGATTTACAGAGTGTATGTTGAAATTACACTACACAATCCTATAATTAGATGACATGACTAGCTTTGCATGGTTCTTACTGTGATTTGATGCCCTATAGTGGATAAATTTACATTTTTCTTTTTGGGAACGAACTAGCAATTAGTGACTTGAAGCTGCGGGGAGAAGTAGCCAAGCATAGTTTTCCCATTATGGTGCTGTCAGTGAGTCCACCATACTTTCTGTGCATCTCTGCCTTTCTTTATTAGCTCTTCAAATAAATAAAACCTGAAACATCTACCCTGATTTCTACAGAACCCTTCATTGGATGGATACTATGTCAAATCAACAAAGCCATGTAAAGAATCCACATTTATAATGCAAATAAAACGCTCACCTAGATATTCCATCAGCTGCTCTGCCGTTATAATCTCCATCATTGGTGGCAGCTTGACCTGTGCCAGAACCAGAGAAAAATCATTTTAAAACTAGTTTGAATGACAAATTGCCTATGGCCATATATGAGACCTCTTTTCCTTCGGCAATGATGTTATGTAATACACATACATAAGGGTTATGGTAAATAGGCTGCTGTATCAGCATAAATGCACTATGAGAAGAGATTTTTATCCAAAAATAAAAACGAAACAACAACCATCGTAAAAACAGCCTGAACGTGGCTATCATCTCCAGAAGATGTCAGTGGCTTTTAAAGCAGTCAAAGCTGAAAAACATAGTGCCTCTTTTTTCAAGATGAAAGACTGAGCACTGAAATAGCGCCTCATGTGCCTGCCAACTCACTGTCAAAGCCAATAATTAAATGTCATCTTTATAATGCAAATGAGTCCAGCGCTGAAAGCCAGAAGTTATTGGTGTGTCTGTAAAATGACTGTTTCAAACCAAACCAAAATACTGGTATGGCTCTACAAATACGTCAAAGGGGATGTTTTTTAAAAATATGGAAAGAGAGAGAGAGAGAGAGAGAGAGAGAGAGAGAGAGAGAAATCTGAAGGTGAAGACCGAATCCAAACAGAATTTCAATTCAAACCCAATTAACTCACTAGTTTTCACTGTCCAAATACTATTACAAAACATAAGAGGAAAAATATGTATTTCAGTCCTAATCACATTTTATGTCTTCACATTTTTACAATTTGTTTAGGCAATTATGGACCATAGTTGTACGTTAAGTAAGTTACATTAACAGAAACAACTGTGTCAATTTTGAGAAATTATATATTTTTTAAAATGCATGCATGAAGTTTCTTTACTAAAAGTTGCATTTTGTTTCATCACTCATGCTTCTTGTTTAGACATTTTTTTAATCAGCAGAAGTTGGAGTTCTTTTGACTGGGGTAATCGCATGCATACAGTTCCATACCATCGCTACATAAAGCAAATATATTATTACAATTTTTATTAATAATGTATTAATATATATTACCCCGTGAGTGTACATTTTAATCAAATATCTCAAAAGTGATGAGTCGTTCTGTGAAACTTTTTAATAAACGATCAATGTCTTAAAGCGCCTTTATTTAATGGCAGTGACAACTGATGTCTCGTGACTAGTGCGCTTACTATGTAGACAAACACAATACAATAGAAAGTTTCAACGGACAATTGGAGCACCGGGCAAAACACAACATTTGCACATCTATAACTTGGGTGGTATTGTGAGCTGTCAAACGAGCAGACTCATCTTATTTACCTTCCATGACAATAGCAGGACATTCATAATAGCTAGCAGCGGACACGGCCCGTTCTCATTCTGTGTGATGATAGGCGTGTTCTCCTCCTTCCACTTTATCCACTTGATGTGGTACAACGACTGACCGGTCACCCTGTCTTTAGGACAGGGGATTTTTGTTCCATCAGCCCCGTATTCACTCTGACTTGCCAAAGCCAGTCCCTTGTCCTCCAGCCCTTCGCTGTTGAGGTCTGAACTCGGGCAGGAGTTCAGATTGGAGAAGGACTCTAGTGAATCAAAGCTGCGGGACTCTCCTGCGATGCTGGGCTCACTACCACTCGGAGGACCCTCGGAAACGGTGTTATCGTTTGAATTCGAGTTAGCAGATTTTGCTTTGTCCGAACACAAATAAGCCGACTTGGCCAGCTTCGTCGCTTCTTGCGTACCTCCATCCAAACCGTCCGCCTGCACATTATTGGCGTCGGGTTGCTCTCCCGTGAGGTTGTTTACTAACTTTGAGGTGCCACCCTCCTTATTCCCAGCAGCGGTCATCGACGGTTCGTATCCCATCCCGTTACTCAGCTGATCCGCTGCATCGGGCGACAGTGTCTCTGGTAAAGCGTTCGGTTGTCCGCTTTTGCTTACCGTCTCAGCAGCATCTGATGTCTGTGTACAGGGTGTAGCATTAGCACCGCTAGCACTTGCACAAGTACTCAGAGTCTCTCTCCTCTCGCAGGCATCTTTCATTCCGCCCACTGTTTTGATATCCGCGGGTTCTGCGGGAATAGCGGTGCACAGGACACTTCCTCCTGCGTCTCGATGAGGGTTTGCATTCTTCTCCATTTCGCTGAACGCATCAACGACAACCTTTGACTAGATGGCAAGCTCCAGTCTCAGCTCCGACGACGCCATGACATCTCCACCTCTGACGTCACCCCTTCATAGACACTTATTTACCGAGTCCGCCTGTACACAACCACTGACTGTATGTCATTTTACTAGCAACTTAAAGGGATAGTTCATCCAGACATGAGAATCATGTCATCGTTTACTCACAGTGTTTTGTCCCAAACAGGACTTTTTCTTACGTGAAGCACAAAAGGAGACGTCAGGCAGAACCTTAGACTGACAGTCTGAGGCAAAGAAAGTGAATGGAGAATGAGCCTGTTATTCTGCCTAACATCTTTTTTGGTAGTCCACTTAAAAAAGAAAGTCATATAGGTTTGGAACAGCATGGGGTGAGTAAATAATGACAGAATAGTAAATAATGTTGTTTTTTAGGCGAACTATAGGCCAAAACGACTTCTGAAAGTCACTCAAGCATTTACCCAATAACAGCATAATAACTATTATATTAATATTGGTTATTAGTTAGTCTACTTATTTTTCAAGGTTATTTTTCAAGGTTTAAAATCCAAGGTTTTAAAATATATATTTTTTTATGTGTTCTTTGGAGCCCAATTTACATCGTTTTATTTAATCTGTGTGGCAGCCCTTGGATTTCTTCAAATCTGCATAATAGGCTACCTCTCTGTAACTTTACGTAAAATGTGCTTGTTCTTTCATTTGTTTTGTTTCTTTGTTTATGCTGTTATTATCGTTGTTGTTTTGTTCGTATCCATTATTTTGTATTTTGTGTCAAAAACCTAAAATGAAAAAAAGGAAGATGTCTAACTATCTGTCACGCAAAGTTTATACACGCGATGGATTAATGTAATCTTTCGTGGATTTAGACTTTCTCCTCACTATATATATCGTGATCACGTGTGAAAGATTCAGTGTTGGGAAGGTTACTTTGGAAATGTAATAGGTTACAGATTACAAGTTACCCTATTTAAAATGTAATAGTAGTGTAACTTTTTCATTTACTTTATAAAAGTAATGTAACTGATTACTTTTGATTACTTTTTGATTACTTTTCTACATTTCTAATGAATGTTTATTTGCAACTGTTAATATTTATAGTAAAATCATTGTTAATTTTAAGGGTTGTGTTGTTGTCTGCCCTAGCTCCCCCTAAACCTATTATAAAATATGATTATTTGTCTGCTAAATTACTACTCTAACATTACCATAGATAATAATGATGTAATTTATACAGTATTTTGAGTGGTGACTGATGAGCAGTGGGCTGCTGCTGCTTAACTAAACAAAGACAAAACTACAATAGCATATTTACAGATGAAACTGACCTGCACTTGAAACCCTGAACAGTAGTTTTGCTTTGAACAGTAGTTTTGCTTCTCTTGCAGTCCACTCCATTCTCTCTCTCGCATTGATTACTCTGATCCAAACCGTTTGGCTGAGGCGCGCAGAGCGCGCGAGCCGAAGCATTGCCAGTCACGACTAACCGATTCAGGATTTATTAGAGATTTAATTATCGAATGGCGAATTCGGAAATAATCGCTTTAGTACATTCGGCAGGCAATTATACAATAATAATATTAAAATAGCGGGGCAAATCGGCTGCCAGGCCACCTGGAACAGTCCCGGTTCTCCTGATGGCCAGTCCGCGTCTTTCCACAGACACGCAGAACGTGTAGGATTCATATATTGTCTATTTGCGGCTTAATATTCTCAGACACTAGTCCATATCGCGTTTTGATTCAAGTGTACTGACCTACTTTTGATTTATTCGTCCAAAATGTGGCATATTCCGTCCGCGTTAGGCTATAGGAATTCCGTTTTTATGACTGGATTCTACGAACCAGTCTGTGTTTTCCGCATCGCGGAAATTATAGGGCCGTATGTCTCAGAGTAATCAGTGCAATTTGGGAAATAAATCAATTAAATCTGTATGTGGATGTGTGTAATTATTCAAATGTAATCCCCTTTGTAATCGTTAACATTTTCATAAGTAACTGTAATTTAATTACACATTTTTTCTTAGTAACTGTAACTGATTACGGTTACATTTAGTTTGTAATTAAATTACGTAACGCCGTTACATGTAACTAGTTACTCCCCAACACTGGAAAGATTGTATGTCTTTCATGAACATCACGCAGTATATTCCACAACAACCCCATCTAGTAATGTTTCTATCCACCGCACGATGGCAACATTGACTAAGATATTGTTCATAATTCTTTGCTCCCTATAATGCGAATGTGTACATTCTTAACTGTAAAAAGTCCCCAAAAGTGAGTTAAATGTGACAAAGCCCCATTTTAGAGACGTTCTCGTTTATAAAAGCGAGCTGTAAAGGACGTAGATTTATTCTAAAAGTGCAAAAACTTTTCTGTTATGGTTAGGGATTGAGTCAGTCTATTATTAATAACTATGTATACCAACAATTTGAATATGGAATGTCTGCATTTAGATAGTCGAGGGGCCTTTCATTTAGCTGTGGGTGAGTAAAATACAAAATGCAAATTGTTTCTTGGTTTTCTGTTGCAAGGAAAGAAAACTACCACTACTATATTTATGACTGTATATATATATATATATATATATATAGTAAAGCCCTAGTACAGTCTAGTTTTGCACTTATATCATTATTTGTATTTTATTTTCTTGTTAATTGTTATATATGAATTCTTTCTCATTTTTAAATTGTGCATCTGTAGAGTTGGAAATGACTTATGTGTGGTGTTGTGTTTTGTGCATTGAAGCTGCCGTGAAAATGTAATTTCCTGTAAAGGATCAATAAAGTATCTAATAATGACAAGCTCCATAGATAAATTAGAATGGCAATTCTTTTTTTTTTTCATTTATTTATTGACAAATAAACTGTACTAAAATTATTATACATCAATAATCAATAATTATTAAAATTATTATGAAGTATTTGGTATGAGAAAGGATCTCAATGAACCACAACCAAGGTTAATTATATTTTTTAACAGCTGTCATATTGTCCTCCAATTTAATGGAAGACCAAACAAAGTAGTTTCGCTTTCACAACAAAACACAGCACCTTCATGACATGGTGGCGGCGGCAACAACACTACTACAGCGAGAATAAAAGTTACGCCTTCTTTCTTTGCGTGAACATTTGTGTGGCGTTATGCAAATCTTCCCACATCGTGAAGTAGACATGTGGGGGCGTGTTAGAACGAGCCGTTTTAGGTAGGCGTGGCTGACTTAACTTTTATAAAGAATATCTCTTTGGATTTAAGACTTTAGTCTTTGCAACTTTACAGATCTTCTTTATGCACCAAGAGCTTGTAACACTCCAAAGAGAAAGGAAAAAATGAAATCGCATCATATGACCCCTTTAAGTTCAACACAAGTCTCGGGAGTGGGCGTGGCTTTCCGCTCTGCCTGCGCCTGACGTCAGGCCGTTAGAGACAAGCGCGGAGCCGAGGCCGCACAGCAGCAGCCGTCACACATACACACACTCACCGAGGGCGACTGCGCCTTTAAGACCCGCAAAACTAACAGCCAAACCAGCCTCGGTGTCAATGTGCGAGCGATGAAATTACTCGATATGGTTTTGTTAAAACTCTTGATGCTGTTATACTGCTTAAGCGACACCAAAGGTAAGTGGGTTTTGCTTTAGTTCTGGAAAAAGTGACGGTTAATCGGATTGTGCTTTAGCTGAAGTGAGCTAGTATGGGAGGGGTGAACATACAGAGACTGAGCGTGAGTGCGGAAGTGAAACTAAACACTAAAATACACAACTTTTACAGTTAAACACGTGGAATTCGATGTTTATTCAAATAACAGCATTATTATTAGACAGTGTGGTGAGGTGTTTTCAAAATGACTTTGAGTGGGATATTTCAGAAGAATGACAATAAATGTCCTAGCTAGCTGTCAAAGACAGTCCGGCTAGCTAACTTAACGAGTGCATTCACGAGTGGAGTAAACAGGAGTGGAGACTGATAATAAATTCATTCAAATTATACGTTTCTGTCCTGTTTGCACTCTTGGTTGTTATTTCAGGAGTGCGTTGACGAGTGCGCAATGTTTGTGAGAGTTGGTGTTAGGAAAAAAAAGGAGGGCGAAATGAAAGACTAACGTAACAGTTACACACCTTTCCTGTTATTTCCACACAAGAGACGAGAGTGTTGTTGCTAGTCTAGTTCGCTTGTGTTTTACTTGAGAGTTTGTACGTTTGTTCCCATAAAATTAACTTTAGAAAATGTATCAGTTAAAAAAAAAAAACTAGAAAAAAAAAGTAAAAAAAAATAAAATAAATAAAGTACAAGAAAACGTTCTAGAGTATATTAAACTCATGGCTATAGTTTGGGACAGGCTTAGTCTGTAGTGACTATAATTAACATCGTTTACTAACAGCAGAAGTCAGTTGTAAGTCACCCTTTAGCTAGCCGGATTGGCATGGCTGTGTGTGTTCAGACACAGAGCTGCTGCAGACACTTCAAGAAATTAATTTCACCATAGATCGTTGTACACTTTCTATAAGGTGAAGTTCAGATTTCTTCTAAAACAGTGAACATACTGTGCCTTCCTTCCTTGCTGTCAGACAGGAAGTGATGACATTGGAGTAGTGCTTTGAGTTTTATCTCTGTCTTTATCACTATCAGTCATCCTTACTTTCGTATTTAAATGTCTGCTACTTCTCCACAGCCAAGCTTTCTTGGGCTGCCGAAGATAGCGAATTCAGAAGAAGATGTTCTTAATCAAGAGGTTTAATTTTATCTGTTTGTTTGTATGCTATGCATTAGTATTTTCTTGCTTACTAAAGTCCATTGGACAATGACCTGATTTATTAGGATGAAATACTGTTCATTCCTTTATTAGTAGGCTTTCTTGACTGTTCAGCTATGTTAACGGACCTGTTTTGGCTCAGCTAAGTTTGTTGCTATGGGATTTTATGTTTTCCAGAGTATTTGGTGTCCATCTAGTTCTTGTTGCCCTGGGCTAAAGACTTACACTGTCTGCCACCATTTTTCCTCCTTGTTGTCACTGATTGCCTAGATCTCAATGGTGTCTCACATTCTCAATCTTTGAGATTTGCATTTTTTTTAATCTCCCATTTAATATTTATTAATTCATTCATTCATTCATTCATGCATAGAGGGGAAAAAAAGGAAAGCTTTGTTCAAGTTTATTTCCAAGCCGTTTTAGGATGTTTACACTTGTAGTTTGGTTCTCTTTTGGTCCGAAATTAAAAAGTAAATTACAAATGTAGTCCTGGTTCACTTAGCGTTCACACTGTAATTTTTTAACACTGAACCTAAAGATACAAAAGGCATAAGCACACAGTCACAACCTGATTGGACATCTTTTATGGCGTATATTTTGTATGTGTGTATGGTGATATCGTTTTTACCAGATAATGGCAGTTCACACTAACAGAACCACACTAACAGAGCAATCGCACCAGAGTTTAATCGAATCAAACCTGCCAAATGTAAACATGCCCTTAGATGAATCATACGTGTTTAATTAATTTCTCAAGATGCGGGCCACATTACTCCTTTTTATGTTTAGTATCCATTTTGAGGCTCTTTCTTGCTTTTGTTAGCCATTGTCCATACGTAGTGTCGTCTGTTTGAGATTAATGGTGCCTGTGTATACTGTGGGAAGTTGATGGAGATTACACCATCCAGTGGTGAAATGGCTTGTTATTGAGCAACTTGAATACTCCCCCATGCATCTAGCCAGTTGAAAAGCAAGTCAACTACGCACAAATGCAAATGCTTTTGTAAGCCGGATTGCAATGTTATGTGATTCTGGTTGTTCTCATGTCAAGTCAAGTCAAGTCACCTTTATTTATATAGCGCATCAGATTTTTTCTAGATCCTGCATTAAATTTATATTTTGACCTCACTATTCGGGGAACAGACACAGTCTTTATAGATTGGACAGCGCAAGTACTTCTATCATGTGGTTGGCAGCTTCTTCAATTTGCTAGATGGTTCCTACCACAAAGACGCCTTCTTGTATGATGTGCCCAGGGTCTAGCATTAACAGTCACCAGTGAGAATTGTTTTATGCTGGTAAATACAACTTACATTTGATGCTGATTTTTGTTGTAAATGATGTGAATGCTAAAAGTAATTTATAACTCTGCAAAAAATGTACTGTCCAATTTTTATGTAGGTTATCTAAATCTTTTTATTGGTCTTCAGCACTCTGTTCGGGAGCACATATGTGCACAATTTCTGGCACTTAACCACCAAAACAAAAATATGAGGTGCAAAACCTTAATGTGGTTGTGACGGGTGCAATTTCACTGCAAGTATGTAAGGTTAAAAGATATTTTAATTATCTTTAAAAAATCTTAAAACATAATTATTTTTTGCAAAATATCCAGTGGATAAAAACAGAAAAAAAAGATATTGTTGAGACTTCAGAGGAATTTACAGAGGAAATAGGTTCCTCGCCAGTGCTAGTCGCAGACAACAATGGGTTTTCATGTGAAAACAGGATAAGCTTTTGAATGGGACATGCAAGTTAAAGAAAAAGTATCAATTAGTGTCTGACAGAGCAAAGGGTTTATTTACAATTCAGAAGTATATATTTTTTTCAGATCAAGTTTAAGTAACACCACCTATGTTATGTTTATTTAAAATATGGTACATTTGTAGTAGGGGTGGAACGGTTCAACTTACTCATGGTTCGGTTTGTATTGCGGTTTTAGAGTCACGGTTTCGGTATGGTTCGGTATGTGCTATGTTTAACTATAATGTCTAATAAAAATATACTGTAATAAAAACTATACTGTCAAATAAAAATAAAGAAAATAAGAATAATCTATCTAACTACAAGCAACAGCACAAATAGATACATTAGAGTAAAGATACAAATAAAATAAACAGTGATTTTCAGTTTTTTTTAGGTAGGTCTAACAGTTTTCAGGTACAGAAATTGAATAAAGTAATGAAATGTAAAACAGCATTGCATATTTGACTGTATAAATTAAAGATTAATCTTTATTAAAGTTACAAAAGCTATTCGATCAAGAGCAGTGAGTGATTTCTTTGTTGTTGCTGTTTGATTAATATTAAGAAAGTGCTGTCACTTTAAGAGAATGCACTGATCCAGTGCACTGATACAGTACGTTCAGCCGGCTATGTCTGCTATAGGATACTTACCAAGATGGGCATTTTGACATAATTTTTGTGTGAATTTGTCCATTTAAACACAATACTTCAGAGAAAGCTTAATACGCAAGCTTTTACGTTTTGCTTAAGCACAGATATCAACATGTGCTGTTCAGGTCTCACCTGTGCGTGCGCTATCAGCACCCAGGTGATGATGTAATAAATGCTCATATTCCAACATATGGCATTCGCATTGAACAAGAGTGAATGGTTTGTCCACGTTTTTTTTTTTTTCATCGCTGTTGTTGTAATGTATTGGGAAGCCAGAATGCGCATCCATCAACAGAAACGTATATTAGCCGAACCCTGTTTGTTTTACGTGTTATTTATAGCAAACCATATTACAGATGCGTTGTCAGATTTAAGTTGAACCGTGGTCCTAGCGCATGCCGAACCGTGTATGGAGAACTGTACGGTTCGATTTTTTTCCGCAAACCGTTCCACCCCTAATTGGTAGTAAGGTATTCTTTTCTCTGAGGCTCTAAGGTTGTCTTGCTCATACATCTGCAAAATGAGCAAGATGCACATCTTAAAAAATGCTGTGCATTTTCACATTTTGTATGTTTAACTTTGGTGCTATTTTTACCAAATGCTAGATATGAATAATAAATAACTGAAAGCAGAGTTGACTGATAACCTCCTCTCTCAGACCAATGCTATCAGCACTAGGGCTGGGCGATATAGCTAAAAAATTTATCAACGATATAATGTTTCATATCGTTCGGTATCGATAATTATTGACATTTTTTATAACCTTTTTTAAAACAGAGCAATATAAAAAAAAAAATTTAATTTTAAATTGCAATTTTTAAATTAACCCAATTTATTGAGAAAAACAACAAATATTTTTTGTTTTAACAATCAAACACAAAATAAAAATTCAACAAATATCTCATTTCTAATGTTTTATATGCAGATTAAATAGGTTTTAAGGAAACTTTTGTCTTGTCTCCCGAGGCCACAGGAGGGCGCAAAATAATAGTGCATTTAAATTGTAAACACAAGCATAACTGTCTATAAAAAAACGTGCATTACGTCTAAATTAACTCAATTAACCCAATTTATTGAGACAAACAACAAATATTTTTTTGTTTTAGCAGTCAAACACACAATAAAAATTAAATATCTAATTTCTAATGTTTTATATGCAGATTAAATTTAGTCACTTTTGTCTTGTCTCCCAAGGCCACAGGAGGAAATAGCTGTCTATAAAAAACATGCATTACGTCTAAATTAACTCATATAAATCAAATATAATTTTGTAAATTGCATAAACCATTATGAACAAAATAGTATCATGTATTTATGCATTGCTTAATCCAAAGAGCCAAAGCGCCATTCACACAGATTGCATTTAAAAACATATGAGACACGGTGAAAAGGAATAAACCTCCAGAAATTCGTGACGTGTTTTCTAAAAGTTGAAACTGTTTTAACTTTGCATGGCTTTCTATACATCTCTTCTG